TTTGCCTTGCACGCAGCTGATTGGGGTTTGATTCCCAGCATCCCATATGGTCCCCTGAGCACCGCCAGGGGTAATTCCTGAGTGAGGAGCCAGGAGTAACCCCTGTGCATCGCCAGGTGTGACCCCCCCACCAAAAAAAAAGGAAAAACAGAAATGAAATCTTTACATTGGTAGAAAAAGGAACACTTTGGGGAAAGGAGTGAAAAACAGATGGAGGAGAAGAAAAACATGATTAAAGGATGAAATTTTCTAAGTAACAAACCAAAATATGCTTTAAAGGATACAATGCACTCGAGAACCTACAGAAAATTCCAGAAGTCAACTTGGAATTTAAAAAAAGTCACTATTTAAAAATGTTATGTAATGTTCTGAATTTTATATAACTGCTGAACTTAATAATTATTAAACAAACAGAATCAGTAATTAAAAAATAACACACAAATGTAAATATTTAAAAATTTGACTCACTAAACACTGATGGTGCAGTGAATCCTATATAGATTAAGCTACACTCCTGCAATTCTGGTGTAAACTGGTAATTCAATAAAGGATGGGGGGGGATATTTTTGCCTTAGAAAAAAGTTACTGCAGGCCAGAAATAGTACATCATGTACGGCATTTGCCTTGCACACTCCTAACCTGGGTTCAATTCAATCCCCAGCATCCCACATATGGTTTTCAGAGCCTGCCACAAGTGACACCTAGTGCATAATTACTGCATACTATTAAGGGGTGGGAGAGCTTGGGCAAAACCTAGAGAAGTATGGTGTGCCAGGAATCAAACAAGGAATGGCTATATAAGCCATTTAACCCTACCCCCACTCCATTCCTGCACTATGTCTCTGACCCATAGCATACTATGAAGATAGCAAAATATGTAAGCAGCTGGGAACAATAAATACATGATTAGTGTACTGGACAGTCCCATTATCAGGTCCCTGGCAGACATCACTAATTAATCATATCAATTTTCTTAACACTGAGCCTCATAATTTTTTGTTTTTAAGGGTAATAAAAATACTGACTATATGGATTTTAAAAATACTCATTATAACAAAGGACACACGCCATTGCATACTAGTTCAAAACCATAGACTGTCTTGAGAGCAAAGAGTAAAATCAATAATGCACCTTAAGTCAAATTACTGATTCTCTTTTAAGGGAGGGTTGGTTTGGGGGCCACACCTGGCTCTGCACTCAGGAATCACTCCTGGCAGTATACTTCAGGGACCATAGTGGATGCCATGAATCAAACTCCAGTCGCTGCTGGCTGATTTTTGAGGGATGATTTTCAAGTATTAAGCTTTGTCAATATAGGTTCACCAAAGGTAACAAATGTATCTCTCTAATCAGTGTTCCTGCTCATCATTTCTTTCAACATAATCTTCCGGCAGAAACCAGGGTGAGCAATAGAATTGAACATATTTGTCATTGATAGTTTTCTTCCAAATACTGTTCAAATCAACAAGAAGCATCAAAAGAATTTTTTGTTTTGTTTTGTTTTGTTTTGGGGCCACATCCAGCGATGCTGAGAGGTTAGTCCTGGCTCTGCAGTCAAAAATTAATCCTGGTGGGCACTGGGGACCACATGGGATGTCAGGGATTGAACCCAGGTTGGCCACTGTAAAAGACAAACCATACCAACTGTACTCTTGCTCTGGCGCCTCAAAATAATTTTTTTTTCATATTCAATGAAAACATTTTGACTTGTTTCCGAAAACACAAAATACTCTTTACACATTTTATTTTGGGGCCTACAAGATAGTATACAGGTTAAGGCATTTGCCTAGCATGTAGCTGCAGCCCAGGTTGAGATCCCAGCACTGCAGTTTCTGCACACTGCTGGGCATGGCCCCTTGACAAAAAGCCGGGGAGAGTCCCCATAAAAAAAAATTAGTTTAGACTTTTGCTGTTGAAAAGAGCAAAACATTATGATCAATAAAATCTCTTTTTTTTTAAATGTTTTATTTATTTATTTTACTGGTCAGACCAAGCAATGCTCAGGGAGTTGCTCCTGGCTCTACACTCAGGAATTACTCGTGGCAGTGCTTTGGGGACCATATGGGATGCCCAGGATCAAACCAGGGTCAGCCACCTGCAAGGCAAATGCCCTCTCCACTGTACTATTGCTCGGGCCCTGAGCAATAAAAATTTAACTAAGAAAAAAATCTTTTAAAAATACCCAAAAACCGGGGGCTGAAATGATAGCACAGCGGGTAGGGCTTTTGCCTTGCACTCAGCCAACCCAGGTTCAATTCCCAGCATCCAATATGGTCCCCCGAGCTCTGCCAGGAATAATTCCTGAGTGCAGGGCCAGGGAAAAAAAAACACACACACACCCAAAAACCGAGGCATGGCTCCACACTAGTGTTCCTTTCATGTGTAATGCCCTTGGGTTTGATTTCCAGCACTCCCAGCACCCACAAAAGTAATTCTCCCTCCCTTAAGGGTTCTAGAAATTGGGACTGGAGCAATAGTACAGCAAGTAGGGCGTTTGCCTTGCATGTGGCCAACCCAGGTTCGATTCCCAGCATCCCATATGGTGCCCTGAACACCGCCAGGAGTATTCCTGAGTGCAAAGTCAGGAGGAACCCTGTGAATCACCAGGTGTGACCCAAAAAGAAGGAAAAAAAAAAAGCTCTAGAAATTATGATAACTCTATTTTTCAGCAGCCCTCATTTTGAACCCAATTTGAATTAAAAGACAAAACTATTTCTTAAGTAAAAGTAAAACACAAGCCAACATTACTTAGAAATTACAAAACTAAATCAATAAAATACGGATATGTAAACCAAATAAAACCACTCTGCTCTTGTAAATATATAGGTATCAATAAAAACAAAACTTTACCAAAGAATGTCACTATTTAAAATTTACTATTTCCTTCCCAAAGAATTTAAAGTTGAGAGACCCAGAAGTGAGAAGAGAAATAAAAAACAGATGTCTGGATGTCCAGGATCACATTATGGTGGGCGATATAGCACATAAAGTAAACCTAACAGGAAAAAAAGAGCAATATGGGTTCGGGAAGTTTAGTTAAGAGTACTGTGGGCGACCAGAGATAGTACAGCAGGTAGGGTGTTTTCCTTGCACACTGCCAAACCAGGTTTGATCCCCAGCCCCACATACATGATTTCCTAGCATCTTTAGGAGTGATTGCTGCGCACAGAGCCAGGAACAAATCCTGAGGCAAAGCTGACTATGACCCCAAAACCTCACACTCAAAACAGCAAGAAATAGTTACCAAATTCTCAAGACCAGCAAAGAAAAATAGACAGTATGCTATGAAACAGTCAGGAGGCTACAGCTTTCTATCCTATAGCTGGATACAAGCAAGGTTAACAAACGACAGACAACACAATGTCAGAAATATAAACATCATAAAAGAAAGGCATTTCCCCACTTTAAGGAAATCTCAATTTATATTAATACTAAAAATAATTAAAATGCTGAAAAAATATCTTAGGGTCCAGTAGGGTAAACTAAGTTTACCATAAAGAATAAAGTTTTCAACAGAAACTGTTAAGTAGGTATGATCTCAAATTATAGACATTTTACGGTAGAGCTCCCTATCTTCCCATACAGATCTATTTCCTATTGTTCCCACTTATTTTAAGGATTATAGCTTGAAAAAGCTTCGCACAACTTTTTCTCATTAAGTATAAAGGTTTTATAAAGATTCCTGCCTGGTTGTTTTTTGTTCTCACTAAAGTGTGAAACGTGAGCCATCCATAAATTGTTGTGATGTTCCTAGACTGCATAAAGCCCTTAAAGGTATTTGCATCCAACTGTCAGTTGGTACTGTGCAATAAAATGGGCCAATCATTTGGAGAAAAACATCCTACATTTGCATAATTCATTATGCTAGTGAAATAAGTCAAATACAGTATCAAAGTATATCTGATAATACTGTTATCAGAGTCGGATGAGGAGAGAAACTGGTAGAAGGTAGTCTCAAAAGGTACGAACTTCCATTCAACCAGGCCAAAGGGATAGCGGAGTGGATAGGGCATTTTTTTGGGGGGGGGAAGGGGAGGAAACACCAAGGTTCGATCCCCAGCATCCCATCTCACTCTCAGGAGTAATTCCGAAGAGCAGAGTCAGGAGTAACTCCTGAACATCGCCGGGTGTGGCCCCCCAAACAAAAAAAGGAACCGCCAGGGATTTAAGGCACAAAATCATGCCAACAGCTACCATAAATATATACAGTAAAGTTGTTATGGGTAGATCCTGAGTCTCATTACAATACTTTTCCCTTTTATTGTATCTTCCTAAGATGATGAATTCTTGCTAAACCTACCGAGGCATAATCAATTCACAACATACTAGATCAAGCCAGCATGCTATTGGTCAATTAGTTCTCAATAATATGGGGAGGGGGGGAGGGCGTGGAACGTGCCGAAACACCAAACTACATATGGAGAGTAAACACTGACCAACTCTATCAAACAAACTTTTCAGAGAAAAACACCATGCCAACAGCACGAAGGATTTCTATGTGGGAATTTCGAACCGGAAAGAACTTCGGCGGCAGGGAGAAACGTGCCCCTTTTCCCCTCCGGACTGGAAATGTGGCCCGCTGGGCAACAGAAGGCTCTGGGTTCAAGCCCAGGACGAAGAAGGAAAAGGAAAAGGAAAAGGAAAAGGAAAGACGGAAAGGAGAGAGAGAGAGAGAGAGAGAGAGAGAGAGAGAGAGAGAGAGAGAGAGAGAGAGAGAGAGAAAGGAAGGAAGGAAGGAAGGAAGGAAGAAAGAAAGAAAGAAAGAAAGAAAGAAAGAAAGAAAGAAAGAAAGAAAGCAAGCAAGCGAGCGAGAACGAACTTGTTTCTTCAAAGAGACAGTGATTCGCTGGCAATTTCAATACGGGTGGTCAACAGAACACTGAGAGTCGCATCTATCTTACAAAGGAAAACCCAAAGACTCACTCGGGGGCCTTCGTGGTTTACCTTCCACGCGCTTCCGCTCTCCCCAAGAGCGACCGGCGCCCAGGCCAAGTTCTTACCTCCTGGATGCGCTTCCGGGCCCGCTGGAGTACTTCTTCGTAGCCCTTCTGCCGCAGTTCACTAAGGCTTTCGTAATACTCCTCGGGGTCGTCGGTCTCGGTGAAGAGCACCTGGGAGAGGATCTTCCACCCGCAGGTGTCCAAGCCGTGGCCCAGGTAGACCTGCAGCTGGTAGCACAGTGTGTCGATCTCCTGCTCCGTCATCTCGGGGGCGCCCCCGAAGAGCACGGTCCACATGCCCGACGGCTCCTCGGGGAACACGGGCAGGCAGGGCTCCAGCTGCGAGTTCACCGAGCACAGCTGCTGGTGCACGGCGCGCAGGTCCTGGAAGGAGAAGAGGCCGGCCCAGCTGCACTCCTCGGCCGCCGGTTCCAGCTCGGCGGCGGCGGCGGCGGGCGGCGGGGGCTCGGCGTCCGGGGGCGCCGGGGTGGCCGGGGCCGCCGGCTCTTCCTTCACCAGTTCCAGCACCTCGATCTCCTCGGAGACGGCCCCGCAGGCGCTCACGACGCGCACCGACGCCACCGGGGCCTCCCTGGGCGACGGCGGGGCGGCCGCCGCGTCTTTGCCTTCAGCTCCTCGGCGGACCGGGCTGGACTTGGCCCGCACCGGGCTCCGGAGCGGGCTCTCGGCGCCTTTGGCGGCCGGGCTCCGCAGCAGCGGGTCGCCCCGCAGGCTGCGCGCGCTCCGCGGCGAGCCGCCGCCATCCGCCCAGGCCGTGCTCCGCCGCGGCCCGGGGCTCCTGCCCGGAGTCGCCGCGGCGCTGTCGGAGCGGCCCTTGGCGGCCGGGCTGCCGGGCCCGCGGGTGCCGTCAGCGGGCGCGGGGGTGCCGGGCGGCTCGGCGGCCCCGCGCGCCCCCGCCGGCTCCCGGGAGCCGCTCCGCTGCCGCTGGGCCGTCCGGTTGTGGCAGGTGATGGCAAACTTGCCCTCGATCTCGTTCCAGGCCACAATGAAGACGAACTTGTGCTTCTCGCGCTCCTCGAACACATGCGGCCGCACGGCCACCCAGTCCGACTCGAGCGTCTCCTCCAGCGCGAACGACATGGTGGCTCGGGCGCCAGGCCTCGGGGCGGGCGCCGCTGACCTGCCCGTCCGAGGACTCGCCGGCTGGCTGCGCCGCGCCCACCGCTCACCCTCGCCGGGCGCCTTCAGCCATCTTAGCGCGCCCGCCGGCCTCGCCGCTCGCTCGCCCGGCCCGGCCGCTCGTGGACCGACAACGCTCCTTTGTGGCGCGGCTGCCGGGACAGACAATACGCGTCCCCGAAGCAGGTAGTTCACATGGTCACGTGCGGCCGGATCTGTTTACAAGCCCCGCGCTGCCGCAGCGCCTCGCGCCCGCCCCGGCCGCCCCTCGCGCGCGAGGCCGCGGGGCTGCGTCTGCGGCGCCCGGGAGGTGAGACGTGGGGCTCGCCGGGCCGGCCAGGCCGGTCGCGCTCGGGGCCGGCGGTTGGCGCGTCTCGGCCGCTCGCCGGAGCCCGATTCCCCGCCCCTTCTCTTCGGCGTCGCCTCCGTCCGAAGCCGGCCCGAGAGAGCGACGCGTCTCCCCAACTCCGCGCCTCAGTCTCGCCACAATGTTGCCATTCGGCTGCTGACGTCGGCGGCTCCACGAGGGACGTAAACATGGGCACGTGCCTCACGCTAGTGACGCGGCAGCAGCGGCGGCGCGCGCGCGCGCGCGGGGTAGCCGGCGCCGCGCCTCGGCGTCCCCGCCCCCACTGGCCCGCGGCCGCGCGCCCCGCTCTTTCCGGTCTTCTGCGCAGCCGCTGCTTCCCGGGCGCTGGAGCGGGCCGCCGGCTCCCTGCTTGCCGCTCTCAGGCGCCGAGGGGCCAGGTGTGCTCTGTGGGACGGGTTACCTCAGACTCTGGAGAAAGAGGAACTAAGGCGGAGGAACTGAGACCTGGCGAGCTCCAGTCGTTCAAAGTGACCCTCCATGGAGGGAAAATCTCCCTCTGTTCTCCCGGAGGGAGTCAGGAAGAATCACTCCGAAATTCAGCATAAAGTCCCTCAGGATGTTATGGGAACTCTGTGCTGAGCTTCCTAAGGGTCCCCCAGACTGTTGGATTCACCCCTAACACCCCCTGAGACCCACTTTTGGATATGAAAGTAAGGTGCCAGGAAACGACCCAGTAAAAGTCAAAAAAAAATTAAAATTAAGTAGAACTTTAGTCATGTCCAAAAAGAATGGATATTTGCATTTCAGTCCTCGGTGTTCTATTGGTTTTTTCTTTGTACTGTTCCTTAAACCTCGTTTTCAGCTCGCTCAAGGCCTTTTGAAGTCAATGACCAGAATTCGCAAAATGCATGTAAACCAGAAGGATTCTGCTATTCATGCTTTAATTTTTTTTTTTGAAAAAGACATTCTTAAATTACCTAGAGGATCTTACAATCAGCTGTTAGGTTGTTGTCATTCTCTTTCCTATTAGTGTCCAATACATGGTGCAGGTTTTCTGGGTCCCACAGTAAAGTCAATTCTTTTTGCTTTTATCTATGCTTGTAGAGTATGCAACCCATTTGGGTTAACTGTTTTGGGTTATCTGCATTGTCTTTAATGTTTGAATTTGTCCTGACATCTGAATAAGCAATTAAAAAACAAAAAAATCTAGTTCCGTGTTGCAGTGGTCTTACTGAATAAAATCTGTTCTTGTCATTAAAATAAAAAGGGCTACAAATTTTAAAAACAAAATTAGCCCTGTCACTCAGTTGAACATTTAGATCTCCATATCTGCTTTGGCAAAACAAATGACAAAGTATTGGGCAAAAGAGAAGGGTTGGTTTTTAAACCCTTTCACAGTACTTTTTGTGGAACTGCAAATTTTCAAAGCTTGTCACTGAAATTGTGTCAATTCTAAAATGCAAATCACATCTACTGTTCAAAGGGCAGGAAGAAAGAAAGAAAAAAAAAGTTGCTAATCTGTAACACCAGCTAAGCAAACAATAGCACATTATAGACAATTCCCTGACTTTTCTGCAAAAGAGTTACTAGTAAACTAGTTTTTCTGATAATCAGTGATAGTGATCATTAGTATGTGATACATTATGGGTGAGTATGAATACTGAGAAAGACTACTAAAGGAATATGTTTGTAGTAAGCATTTTAATTTACACATATTAAGATTGCAATAGTTGGACTGGAAAGGCAACCCAAAGATACTGAGCACCTGATTTGCATGCAAAGGTCATTAGTTTCAATTTCAGGCACTGTATGGTTTCCCCTAGTACCTCCAGGAACAACCCCCAAGGATAGAACTGGGGAGTAGTCCCTAAGCACCCTGGCTGTGGTACCCCAAAACAAAATATAAATAAATAAAATTTCACTGTCACTGTCACTGTCCTCCCTTTGTTCATCGATTTGCTCGAGCGGGCCCAGGAACATTGTGAGATTTATTACTGTGTTTGGCATATTGAATACGTCACGGGTAGCTTGCCAGGCTTTGCCGTGCGGGCAAGATACTCTCGGTAGCTTGCCGGGTTCTCTGAGGGAGGCAGAGAAACCCAAAAATCTGAAAATATGGATTGTGGTTACCAAGGCATTCAATATTTTCTCACCATCCTCTGACCACTGTGTTTTGTCAAAAGAGTTTGTTCCAGTTTTTCTCATTTCCTCTGTCTTAGTAATCACTATCCTAGGAATGAAAGAAGACAAATAGAAATACCCATGATAGGTTACATTAGTTCTGTACAATTCTTTATTTAGGTCTGTACCTGATATCAAGCAAGATGTGAGTGTTTAAGTTATTTCCTGGGAATAGGTAAAGCTATAGAAAAATCACATACACCATACCAGCTTTGAAAAAAAGCACTTGAAAATTGAAAATTAAAAATGATTAAATGATTAACTGAATTGAGGATTCAGTTTTGTACTATTTCAGATTACACAGTGATATTGAGTATTGTTAGGTAATCTGGGAAATGTTTTACTCATTAATCCTTTTTAGGGGGTGGAAGTGATACTAAAGCAGGTAGGGCATTTGTCTTGCATCCCAACTAGTCCTCCGAGCATTGCTAGGAGCAACTCCTGATTGCAGAACCAGGAATAACCCCTGAACATTTGGTATGAACCAAAAAAATCCTTTTAAAAAACTTAAATGTTTGCATAACAATTTTCAAATTGTATAGCATTTTCCTCTGCATACTAAATTCATTCTCACAATAACCATATGATGTATAAAATAAGTCCAAAGTCCAGAGAGATAGTACAAGGGTTAAGGCACCATGCCACCCACCCTGGTTCAATCCCCTGCAGTACTTATGGTCCCCTAGGCACTGCCACGAGTCATCCCTGAGCACAGATGTAGTAGCACTGTAGCAGTAGCATTGCTGGATATGTGCTACCCCTGCATTAAACAATTAAGTCTTTAATTTTATATTTGTGTAAATAACTGATTAGTTTAAAAACCTTGATAAGTTTGGTCACAATTCCACGGTTAGGACCAGGTAATAGAACAAATTCAGGGGCCTCATACATGTGTCTGTGCCAGTTAGATTCTAATAGGAACAGACTCTAAAAAGAAGTTAGAAATAAAACAATTGATGGTTTGGTAGTGGGAGTGCTGTCTACATTTGAAGAAAAGGGCAGAAGCAAGGATTGGGCAGACTAGTTAAACAGAAACTGGGCAAAGTTGTTCCTAAAACAAGTTCCTGCCTCTAGTGGAAATGGCTAGACTTGCCCTGAGAAAGCAAAAGATGAAAACCTGAAAACGCAAATGATTGGGACCTGTCAGCTAACCACACTCCTTGCAGCTGCAGAATGCAGCCCTTCTTGACTGACTCATCACCAAGCCTGCCAAGTTTAGCTTATGTGCAACATGAATGTCCTTCCTACGTCCCTCAGGACTCTCTTTCTGAGGAGCAATTTCAAATAGGGAGGCTGGGAGACAAACCACAGCTACTGTGGCTATAGTTGGTCATGTGGTCCCAACTGATGCCCATCATCTCCCTTCTTCACTCATTAGCTGATATTTCCCAAGCTCTCATTCCAAAAGGGCCTAAACTCCTGGTAACCTTATATACAACCACTGTGCATAGCCTCCATTACCACATCACTACATTCATCAGTATGAGACCAGAGGTACCAAAAGGTAACCAACGGGGACATTAAAATTCCATATTAGCTCTTCCCTGCACCTGCCCATTATGGAACAGCAGGTCTGCCTCCCCTTTTTGTTAGGATCGATTGCACCTGATAACCTTACAATGATTTCTGCTTGCCCTGCTTAAACCTGAAGGGTGCAAGTAACTGCTGTGACTTGTAGTTTAATGGAATCTCTTCTGTCCCCTGGCAATAATATGCTAGAACAAGATCTCTAACCTTGAAGAATACATAACATTGGAGACTGAAAAGTGGCAAGACGACTTTCTTATTTCTTGGATGTATGTATTTGCCTTTGTGGGAGCATAGTGCCATATGAAGGTCTATAACTCAACATGGGCTGGAGCGATAGCACAGCGGGTAGGGTGTTTGCCTTGCACGCAGCCAACATGGCCGACCCGAGTTCGATTCCTCCGCCCCTCTCGGAGAGCCTGGCAAGCTGCCGAGAGTATTCGATATGCCAGACACAGTAACAACAAAGTCTCCAATGGAGACGTTACTGGGCCCGCTCGAGCAAATCGATGATCAACGGGAGGGCCTTTATAACTCAACATTTATATGTATCCCAGAGGATGGTACCCCACCCCTGATGAAGGAAACATGGTGGTTGGAGTTCATCATCAAGCAGCGAGTGGGATTTTTTTTATGGTGCTCAGAGACTACTCCTGGCTCTGTGTTCAGAAGTGACACCTGGCAGTGCTCAGGGGACCATATGTGATAATGGAGATCGAGCAAGGAAAGTGGCTTGACCCCTGTACTATTTCTCTGGTTGAGTACCATGATTTTGAGACAGTATTTCACATGTCCATTCCGTATTCCATACTAACTCCTCTATTTGGCTAGCAGCTTCTAGATGGCCCAGTATATGACATGACCAGTGGATCTGTAAAATGAGTTTCCTGGTTGGATGCCTTACTACTCCATCTTGGTAGATCAGTCATTCCTTAAGCAGCTTCAAAGTATTCCTGGCTGAGACATTTAGGACAAGCCAACTGATCCCTGATTAAGTGTCCATTCCTGTGTGAAAAACCACAATTTTCCCATGATGAAAATGGTCCTGTGTAGAGCATTTTCTAACAAGTGACTGGTTAGTCTCCTTAAGGAAGAATGTCATCCTAGGTTCTCAGTGTTGGAGTTTTTACAAGCAGCTGCAATAGTCAAATCAGGCAATTAAATCACTAGATTGGACTTTTAGTGGTAGTATATGTTTTTTGATTCACACAAAGCCTTCATCTCTGCCACTGTGATCATGTCATCTTGTTAAGACCAACTAGTCAAATTATTTGTCCAGTTGGATATTTGGTGCCCATGGCATATAGCTGTTTTCTGATAAGCATTAATATATAATATAAAAATATTACATCTTGTTTGGGCTGGAGCGATAGCATAGTGAGTAGGGCGTTTGCCTTGCACGCAGGCAACATGGCCGACCTAAGTTTGATTCCTCCGCCCCTCTCAGAGAGCCCAGCAAGCTACCGAGAATATTGCGCCCACATGGCAAAGCCTGACAAGC